GCCAGGAGGACGCGCCGCGAAACGTCCCAAGGGATGCGCCAGGCGACGTGCCAGGGGACGTGCCATGGGGTCGCAACGCGGGACGTGCCAAGGGGACGCGCTACTGAACGTGCTGGGGACAAGCGTTTCGCTCGAGACATCCTATCACAATCATCCGAATTCCTACGCGCGGGACGCGGCACGCGCGAGACATCCTCGGAATTCCTGCGAGCGGGACACGAAAACAAACATTGCGCCTGAGATATCCTCTGAATTCTGGCCCCCCACGAGGCCCCCGCTCGAGACATCCCCCAATTTTGCAAAACCAGCGTTTCGCTCGAGACATCCTCAACAAATTATGAAAAACAAGCGTTTCGCTTGAGAAATCCTGTCAAAACCCAAAGAAATCAAAATTCCTGCGTGCGGGACGCGGCACGCGCGAGACATCCTCGGAATTCCTGCGCGAGGAGCGCTTTTCCGTGTCGCGGTCGGCTCTGCAAAACCAGCGTTTCGCTCGAGACATCCTCAACAAATTCTGAAACCAAGCGTTTCGCTCGAGACATCCCCAACTCTGCAAAACCAGCGTTTCGCTCGAGACATCCTCAACAAATTCTGAAAAACAAGCGTTTCGCTCGAGACATCCTCACAAATAATTTCGCCGGCCCTACTCCGTGCGTGCCCGCTCGCAAAATAATTTCGCCGCCCAAGTCGCAGGGGGGCCGGGGGGTTAACCTACTAAAAGAGAACCCTGGGCCCGCGCCCTTTCCGGGAACTAGCAACAACTTCACGGATGGAGGGCAGGTGGTTTTCAAAATGTGGCTCTCGCCGTAGCGCCGCGCACATTCGTCTTAAACATTTGCAACAGCTTCATGGACTGAGGGCGGGTGGTTTTCCAAACGTGGCTCTCGCCGTAGCGCCGCGCACACTCGCCTTAAACAAGTGCATGAGTTTCACGGATTGGGGGCGAGTCGTTTTCAAAATGTGGCTCTCGCCCTGGCGCCGCGCGCATTCGTCTTCGAAATGGGCAAGCGTCACGGATCGAGGGCGGGTAGTTTTGAACATGTGGGTCCGTCTTGAAAAATCAGCAGGAACTTCACGGATTGAGGAAATGTCGTTTTCAAAACGTGGTTTTCGCCGCAGCGCCGCGCACATTCGTTTATTACATTTGCAAGTGTTTCACGGGTTGAGGGCGGTTCCTCTTCAAAATGTGACTCTCGCACTAGCGCCGCACACTTTCGTCTAAACGCATTGTGGAAAGTTCCACAGATTTCCATGGAATGCCGCTCTGGAGCGATGCAGAACTGCCAGGGCGCAACCGTTACTTTGATTCACTGTGTTGACGTCCCAGGAACGGCGTTCTGGCACGATTCAGGGTCGTAAAAGCGCAACAATCAAGTTGTTTCGTGGCGTTGAAATTACGAGAACGGTGTTTTGGCCTTCTTCAGGATCTTCCAACGGTTGACTCCCGACAGGCACTTCCCTCAGTGGACATGAACCATTGTAAGGGCCTGTGATGAGCGAGCTTGGAGGGAGGGTTTATTCCAACATCGTTGATGAGTCTTTGGTTTACACTGGTCCTCCTCCTTCTCCTCCTCCTCCACCTCCTCTTTTGTTTTCTTGATTTCTTTCTCTGTCTCCTCCTCCTTCTTCTCCTCTAACCGTCCCACCGCGAGCAGCGCGGCCTTGGCTCGAAGGGGTCGGGGAGGCGAGTGGGGGGCGTGTTCATGCGTACGCATGCGCCTTTGGCTTCCTCCTCCTCCCCTCCTCTCCTCCTCAACGGCCCCCAAACCAGCATGGACGAGGGGTGGCCCACGTCGTCGTCCTCCTCCTGCTCCTGATCCTGCTACTGCTCCTCCGCCTCCTTTTCCTCCTCCTTCTCCTCCTCCTCCTCCTCCTGCCCGTCCTCCTACGATGCGCTCCGCCACACACCACGCCACAATATAATTTTCGTGCAGACAGAAAGCGAAACGTTGTGCCTGCACCTCCTCCACCTCCTCCTCCTCCTTCTGATCCTCCTCCCCCTCCCTGCAGGATCCTCTGGAAGGCTCTGGCACTATGACAACATAGGAGGCCCCCCTCCTCCTCCTCCTCCGCCTCCTCCTCCTCCTCCTTCTCCTCCTCCGAATCCCCCATTATTCTTCCTTATAGGTACCTCGTTCCTGTCGCAACCCGAGGCCTGTTGAAAGGGCGGGCTGGGCGTTTCGCTTCCGACTTCCTCACCATACATGTTCCTGGAGATGAGAAATTGAAGCAGCTTAACAAATGAAGGGTGGTCCTTTTTCAACATGCGGCTGTCGTCTTAGCGCCGCGCACATTCGTCTAGCAAAAATTGCAACAGTTTCACGGATTGAGGGCGGGTCGTTGTTTTAATGTGGCTCTCGCCTTGACGCTGCGCATTTTCGCTTTAGAAACTTAAGAGAATGTTGCGGGTTGAGGCCAGGTCATTTTCACAATGTGGCCCTCGCCTTAGCTCTGCGCACCTTAGTGCTTCAACCATGCAAGGATTTCACGGATTGAGGGT